CTCATAGGAGGACTGAGTGAGTGGACATGCACCCCCTGGGCCAGAGAGGGGAAGGAGTGTTCTAGTGAGAAACTGTATTAGCTTTCTACCTGGGACTGCCTTACATTTAAAGTGACAGGAACTGGATCCCCTGCTCAGGGATTCCTTCAGACAGCTGGATAAAGAAGTATCTAGGGTCTGGGGTGGTCCACCAGGAGAGGTTGGCTAGCTCTCCAATAAGATGATTCTTTGTTTTAAAGAGACTTGTACATAGTTCCAGGAAGATTGTCCTCAATTGCAGTTCCTTTGGGCATCCCATACACCCCTTACCCAATCCAAGTTCAAAATCCCCTAATAAAACAAAAAAAAACCCAAGATCAAGGACTGGTTACTGTCTCTGGAGTGCAAGTCTGGAAGGAAATGCATGTTGCCTGGGAGTGCAGGACTATAGGGGGACCCAAATCTCTAGTGACTAGTGAAGGGGGTAATGCTACACTAGGGACTCGCAAACCTGTGCTGCAGCTTCCTTTTGGGACCGGACTGCATTCTGCCTTCTAAAGACAGATACTGTTGGTGCATCTTTACACATCGCCCCTCTGCCAAGAACTGAACTCTGAGTGTTACCCTTAGCGGCGCTCTCCCGTTGGGGTTGTTTGTAGTTTACATTTTTCTACAACACAAGTTCTAATTTATCTGCAACTGGACTCTGTGTTTTTATTGCTGCACCCACACACGTGCCAAGATAAGGGGGTGGTATAAATGTTATGGGGGCCCATGCCATTTTTTCTTAAATGGGACAGTACACAGTTTTGTGTAAGCAAAATGGCATGGGATCCCACCAAAAATCATAGTAAACCCTTATCCCTGCATTCAGCCTGGGTCACCAGGAAATGGGCAGTCCTCCCTTTCTGGCCTTGCCCAACCTGAGCTTCTATGACGCTGTCCTATCACTGATCTTCCTATAGCTCCATATTCTGCACATGACTATATTGAGGTCCCCGACTGCTCGTAGCACTAGGGTCATGACAGGTTGGCTCTCACCATTTTACTGTATCTAAATCTATCTAATAAAAAATAAGTCATTGTTCAGAATCTCCCATCAACCGTGATACTGACTGATGTCACTGCCCACCGAATAATATGCACTCCCCGGCCACTTTATTAAGTACACCGTACTAGTAGTGGGTTGGACCCCCTTTTGCCTTCAGAACTGCCTTCATTCTTCATGGCATAGATTCAAGAAGGTGTTGGAAACATTCCTCAGAGATTTTGGTCAATATTGACATGATAGCATCACGCAGTTGCTGCAGATTTGTCGGTTTCACATCCATGATGCAAATCTCCCGTTCCACCACATCCCAAAGGTGCTCTATTGGATGGAGATCTGGTGACTGTGGAGGCCATTGGAGTGCAGTGACCTCATTGTCATGGTCAAGGAAAACAGTTGGAGTTGGTTGGGCTTTGTGACATGGTGCATTATCCTGCTGGAAGGAACCATCAGAAGATGGGGACACTGGAGTTATAAAGGGATGGATTTGGTCAGCAACAATACTCAGGTAGGCCATGCTCATTTGGTACTAAGGGGCCCACAGTGTGCCAAGAAAATCTCTCCCCCACACCATGACACCACCACCACCACCACCAGCCTGAACTGTTGATACAAGGCAGGATGGATCCCCCACCATGACACCACCACCAGCCTGAACCATTGATGCAAGGCAGGATGGATCCGCCACACCACACCACCACCACCACCAGCCTGAACCATTGATACAAGGCAGGATGGATCCACCACACCATGACACCACCACCACCATCCTGAACCGTTGATATAAGGCTGGATGGATCCATGCATTTTTGTTGTTTACATCACATTCTGACCCTACCATCTGAATGTCGCAATTGAAATCCAGACTCATCAGACCCGGCAACATTTTCCAATCTTCTTTTGTCCAATTTTGGTGGGCCTGTGTGAATTGTAGCCTCCGTTTCCTGTTCTTGGGTGACAGGAGTGGCACCTGGTGTGGTCTTCTGCTGCTGTAGCCTATCTACTTCAATTTGGACATGTTGTGCATTCAGAGATGGTATTCTGCATACCTTGGCTGTAACGAGGGGTTATTTGAGTTACTGTTACCTTTCATCATCTTAAACCAGTCTGCCCATTATCCTCTGATCTCTGACATCAACAAGGCATTTTCCTCCACACAACTGCCACTCACTGGATATTTTCTCTTTTTTGGACCATTCTCTGTAAACCCTAGAGATGGTTGTGCAGGAAAATCCCAATAGATCAGCAGTTTTTGAAATACTCAGACCAACCCGTCTGGCACCAACATGCATGCCACATTCAAAGTCACTTAAATACCCTTTCTTTCCCATTCTGATGCTCGGTTTGAACTTTAGCATGATGTCTTCACCACGTCTAGATGCCTAAATGCATTGAGTTGCTTCCATGTGATTGGCTGATTAGCAATTTGTGTTACCAAGCAATTGAACAGGTGGACCTAATAAAGTGGCCGGTGAGTGTATATCACAACTGTTACACCCACTCATGTCACTGTATATAATCTGTCACCAACTTGAAGATACATTCTTGTTTGGTCACATTAGATCAGTCACCATTTATCCAGGAGACACCTCTAGGGGGTTCTAAATGTTTCTTATGGAATTTATGTTCACCAGCAACATGGAAAACACAAAGAGCTGCCCAGTTAGATTTATTTTCTATCCATTTATATTTCTTTTATACATTTCATGGACATCCTGAACTGCTTTGAGGGCCCAATTGGATGTATTACTAATAATGTCCTGATTTTAATGCTGCTGTTTTCTGTAATAATTCTATCCCGTGTCATACTGTATGTCAGAGATTTACAGACCTCATTACCTTCTATGACAACTTTATTTCATAACACATACATACACAAAGTAGGAAATAGATCACTTATAGGAAACTTTGCACAAAATGATGGCAGTTAACAACCTTCACCGACTCCAAGAATGACCCCTTTCATGAACAGACGTATCTGCTGGAATATCTTAAAACAAGGACACAAATTCCTAGAAATCCTAATTATGAACCTCCTCAGCAAATGATATGAACAGAAAACATTGAAGTCATTCTTACGTTGCCATTTTTCCAGATGTTACTCATATCAAACATTTTGGGTACAAAATCCGGGTCTTGAAAAACGGAAATTTTGCTTTGAGGAAAAGATATATTGTTTATATAAAGGCCGCTCTGTACAATAAGATCGGTTGGGATTTCTCTTCTCTCATTGAAGTAGATCTCGCCTCCGTCTGGGTCGGTGTAATGAACATTTCTCACATATTTGTGCAGCTTTTCATGGAAGACAGAAATACTCACATTACTATATACAGGTATAAAGGTTCTGAAATTAAAGTCTAATTAAAAAATACAAAGTGGTTACATCCAAGTTATTATTATTATACAGGATTTATGGTGCCAACAGTGTGCTCAGCGCTTTACAATATAACGGGAGACAATACAGCAACAATACAGTTCAATACAAAAGGGAGGAGGGCCCTGATCCTGGGAGCTTACAATCTAAGAGGGAGGGGCTAGTGGTACAAAAGGTAATAACTGTGGGGGATGGACTGATAGGAGGAATAGAAGATTCCGGTATTAGCTGAGGGCAGGATAGGCTTCCCTGAAGAGATCGGTTTTCAGAGATCGCCTAAAAGTGAGCAGAGTAGGCGATAGTCTGATAGATTGGGGTAGAGAGTTCCAGAGGATGAGGGAGGCTCTGGAAAAGTCCTAGAGACAAGCATGGGAGGAGGAGACAAGTGAGCTAGAGAGCAGGAGGTCGTACGAGGAGCGGAGAGGATGGTTTGGGTGATATTTGGAGACAAGATTGGTGATGTAATTTGGGGTGGGGTTATAGATGGCTTTATATGTTATTGTTAATGTTTTGAATTTTATCCGTTGGGCAACGGGAAGCCAGTGGAGGGATTGGCAGAGAGGGGTGGAGGACACTGAGTGGAGGCCAGTGGAGGGATTGGCAGAGAGGGGTGGAGGACACTGAGTGGAAGCCAGTGGAGGGATTGGCAGAAAGGGGTGGAGGACACTGAGTGGAGACCAGTGGAGGGATCAGCAGAGAGAGGGGTGGAGGACACTGAATGGAGGTCAGTGGAGAGAGATTGGCAAGGAGGGATGGGGGACACTGAGTGGAGGCCAGTGGAGGGATTAGCAGAAAGGGGTGGAGGACACTGGATGGAGGCCAGTGAGGGATTGGCAGAAAGGGGAGGAGGACACTGAATGGAGGTCAGTGGAGGGATTGGCAGAGAGGGTTGGAGGACACTGAATGGAAGCCAGTGGAGGGATTGGCAGATGGGGGTGGAGGACACTGAATGGAGGTCAAGGGAGGGATTGGCAGAGAGGGTTGGAGGACACTGAATGGAGGCCAGTGGAGGGATTGGCAGATGGGGGTGGAAGACACTGAATGGAAGCCAGTGGAGGGATTGGCAAAGAGGGGTGGAGGACACTGAGTGGAGACCAGTGGAGGGATCAGCAGAGAGGGGTGTAGGACACTGAGTGGAGACCAGTGGAGGGATCAGCAGAGAGGGGTGGAGGACACTGAATGGAGGTCAGTGGAGAGATTGGCAAGGAGGGATGGGGGACACTGAGTGGAGGCCAGTGGAGGGATTGGCAGAAAGTGGTGGAGGACACTGAATGGAGGCCAGTGGAGGGATTGGCAGAAAGGGGAGGAGGACACTGAATGGAGGTCAGTGGAGGGATGCAAGGAGGGATGGAGGACACTGAATGGAGGTCAGTGGAGGGATTGGCAAGGAGGGATGGAGGACACTGAATGGAGGTCAGTGGAGGGATTGGCAAGGAGGAATGGAGGACACTGAATGGAGGTCAGTGGAGGGATTGGCAAGGAGGGATGAAGGACACTGAATGGAGGCCACTGGAGGGATTGGCAGAGAGGGTTGGAGGACACTGAATGGAGGCCAGTGGAGGGATTGGCAGATGGGGGTGGAAGACACTGAATGGAAGCCAGTGGAGGGATTGGCAAAGAGGGGTGGAGGACACTGAGTGGAGACCAGTGGAGGGATCAGCAGAGAGGGGTGTAGGACACTGAGTGGAGACCAGTGGAGGGATCAGCAGAGAGGGGTGGAGGACACTGAATGGAGGTCAGTGGAGAGATTGGCAAGGAGGGATGGGGGACACTGAGTGGAGGCCAGTGGAGGGATTGGCAGAAAGTGGTGGAGGACACTGAATGGAGGCCAGTGGAGGGATTGGCAGAAAGGGGAGGAGGACACTGAATGGAGGTCAGTGGAGGGATTGGCAAGGAGGGATGGAGGACACTGAATGGAATGGAGGTCAGTGGACTGGGATTGGAGGGGCAAGGAGGATGGAGGACACTGAATGGAGGTCAGTGGAGGGATTGGCAAGGAGGAATGGAGGACACTGAATGGAGGTCAGTGGAGGGATTGGCAGAGAGGGTTGGAGGACACTGAATGGAGGCCAGTGGAGGGATTGGCAGATGGGGGTGGAAGACACTGAATGGAGGCCAGTGCAGGGATTGGAAGAGAGGGGTAGAGGACATTGAGGGGATGTCCAGAGCTGTGAATTTAAGTGTCTTTTTTCTGATGGGGGGTGTTAATAGAAGGCTCTCTCGGGTGGGGGTGGAGCAGGGGTGTTGTTGGTCACCCTCAGGCTCTCTCCATGGGGAGGGAGATGTCCAGAGCTGTGAAGGTGAGTGTCTCTTTCTGGGGATTCAGCAGGGGTGTTGTTAGTCACTGTCAGGCTCTCTTTCATTGGGGGGGGGGGGGGTGTCCAGAGCTGTGAAGGTGAGTATCTTTTTTTCTGTCGGGGGAGGGGTGGGGTGTTAGTGGAAGGCTCTCTTGGGTGAGGTTGGATCAGGGGTGTTGTTGGTCACCATCAGGCTCTCTCCATGGGGGGATGTCCAGAGCTGTGAAGGTGAGGACACAGCCTTCACTCACCTTCACAGGTCTGGCCATCCCCAGGAATGACAGTGGGACTCTGCATACACCATCAAGCAGCCCTCAGCCTCTCTCGGATCCCACCTGGTCCCCATGTCCCAGTGCGGCCCCCCTAAAAAAATGCCGCCCTAGGCAAATGCCTTGTTTACCTTGTGGTAAATACGCCCCCCGAGTAACATAAGCACTTATTATCCAACTCACTCTGTGCTGGAATCCATTTTGTTCAGATTGTATTTTCTTGGTGTACATTCCGTGTAGAGCGTGGGCCAGAACATACACAGCCCTGTATGCATAGGAAGGTATAGATGTATAATTAAAAAATACTTCAGAAATATTTCCATCTGTACAATGTCTGAGAGGGAGAGGAGAGAATGTAATTGAAAAAGGTTATTTTTGTCCGGATTTGGGGAAAGGCACCGAAGCAAAGAAATCCCAATATCTTGCAGTATTGGGTCAGTTAAGCAGCTGGAGAAGTTGACACCAACACCACGATGATTGAAGTTCACGCTTTTCATTTGTGGCCACTGAAATATGAAGATGCAGCTGACTGGTGGGAAATCACCATAGTCGATATCTAAGCCTTTACTCCACGACGGCGGGAAAATAAATGTGATATTTTCTATAGCAGACTTCATATGAGACTCTATACGAGAAGCAAGCTGAGAAAAGAACTCTGTGAAAGTTCCACACATTACCACGACTTTAGCTGATGATTTATACATCATCATTAATTTCCGATATTGATCTTCAGTACTGAAGCGAAGTCATAGATATAATATGCGCAGATCCCGTGTTGGCTCATCATCCTGATCAGTTCTTGGGGCCTCCTCATCACCTCTGCCTTCCAATGATGTTAATATTCCAACCCAGTTCCACCCAAAATGCTTCAAGAAATGTACAACAGCCGTATAATAGGCCTGACTGTCCGGCGTCATACGGAATAAAGTTGGATACATTCTTCCATCACTCGGGTGAGGGTTAGAGACTCGATAACTAAGCTGGATGATACGTTGGGAGATATTTTCATGGGATGGTATTATTATTATTCAAAAAAATATATAAATGACACACAAAGATCTCTATCATATTTTAATAGTTGAACTGGATGGACTTTTGTCTTTTTTCAGCCAGACTAACTATGTAACTATATTTATTTTCTCTGTTCTAATAAAAAGAAGTACTTGCCAGAATTGATATCCTAGAGATCTAAGTAGATGACGGCACACAATGCCTACTTACCTTCTATACCCTCACATTCAGCCCCTAATTCACCTACAACAACTCCTCATTCTAAGGATACATAGTTACATAGTTAGTCTGGCTGAAAAAAGACAAAAGTCCATCCAGTTCAACCGCAGAACAAAAAAAAAGTTATAATCCTACACCCACAGATGATCCAGAGGAAGGCAAAAAAACCAGCAAAGCACGATCCAATTTGCTCCTGCAGGGAAAAAATTCCTTCCTGACCCCCCGAGAGGCAATCGGATATTCCCTGGATCAACTTTCCCTATAAATGTTCTATCCAGTTATATTCTGTGTATCCAAGAAAGAATCCAGGACTTTCCTACAGCAATCCACTGAGCTGGCCACAACCAACTCTGGAGGGAGTCTATTCCACATTCTCACAGCTCTTACTGTGAAGAAACCTTTCCGTGTTTGGAGATGACATTTCTTTTCCTCCAAATGTAAAGAGGGCCCCCTTGTCCTCTGTGATGACCTCAGGGGGAATAGGCTGCTGTAAAACAGTAAGTCCTCCCTGATATCTACTGTCCTTAACCCCCTTCCATACCGGGAACTTTTACCCCCTTCCTGCCCAGGCCAATTTTCAGCTTTCAGCGCTATCACACTTTCAATGACAATTGCGCGGTGATGCAACACTGCACCCAAAACTAAAATATTATCATTTTGTTCACACAACTAGAGCTTTCTTTTGTGAGGATGATTAATGTGTTGGAAGTCATTGACTACTCTACTGAGCACGGTCTTGGGGGATGATGATTATTTCAGTAAAAGTAGTATTTTTTGTGCTAATCAAAATAATGTCATCAGATGTCCAGATACATTCAATTCTGATTGGTGTAAAAACAACTACATAAAGGAGACTTCCACAAATGGCACAGCTTATTTTCTTACATCTCCCTATTGCTGAGCTAATATTTTGGGAACTAGATCCAAAGGCAACTCTAAAAACCTACCTGTCATGGTGTGCCTGGCTAGGCGCTCTCCCCTGGATCACTAGAAATTCTGAGGACCCTGAATCACCTCCCCCCACACCCCTCTCATCCTGTCACAGCCCTTTGAAGCCAGGCTGTCCAGGATGTACTCCTGTCACCTTTCCCTCACTATCTTTCCCCATCCAGAGCAGCTGGAGGGGGGAAGATAGTTCCCTGCAGTGAGGTTCACACCTCTCCAGCCATTCGGCCAGAGAGGGGTGGACCTCCCACAGAGATGTTCCGGGCCGCGGCAGTCAGCCTGATGCCGCACGGCCCCGGCGAGTGCAGCGCAGGCACGGGAGTTTCCCGCACGTGCACTCGCCTACTGACAAAGGCCACGCTCTTGAGAGTGCAGCCTGTGTCAAGGGGGGCGTGCCTCATTGCCGGGCGACGAGGTACGCTGCCCACGGTTACCAGGACAACCGGGAGCGTCCTACACCTGCCTTAAGAAGGCCGCTGGGGAGCGTCCCAGGTTGTTCTGTCTGCTGTGCAGCTGCTGGGAGGTCTATGCCGAGGCAAGACCCCCGCAGCCACTCTGCAAAGACTTAGGATCGGGAGGGGGAATTATTACCCACTGGCACTCTGCATGAAACAGAGTAGAATCAGGAGGATTATTACCCGCTGGCACTCTGCATGAAACAGAGCAGGAGAGGATACCCTCTGGCACTCTGCATGAAACAGAGTAGGATTGGGGGGGATTGTTACCCGCTGGCACTCTGCATTAAACAGAGTAGGATGGGGGGATTATTACCCTCTGGCACTCTGCATTAAACAGAGTAGGATTGGGGGGGATTGTTACCCGCTGGCACTCTGCATTAAACAGAGTAGGATTGGGGGGGATTATTACCCGCTGGCACTCTGCATTAAAAACAGGGATTGGGGGGATTATTACCCCCACTGGGAGGATTATTACCCACCGAATACGCTGCTAATACCTGGGACTCAGGGAAAGCATCTGCTGCTATACTGTTCATACTGCGGGCCTAGGAGTGCTGTTGCTGGGGAATCAGGACTGGTACCTGCTGTTGGGACCCTCTGCTGTGTGCTGAGAAGGGTCGCCCCCCTGGCTGTTGTCTGCTGTGAACCTGGGCATCCCTGTCAGAGTTGTGAGTGTCTGCACCCCTGTTTTATTCCCCCCTGGACTGTTCCTGAACTCTCTTCCCCTTCTTTCTCCCTGCTTGGATTACAAACTGTTATAGAGACTCTAACTCTGCCCCCCTGGGGCCGGATTACAATTATTTGGGGCCCACTCCTTGCTATTCCCCTACACTGGGTACTGCCATGGTACCTGCAGACCCCAATTGAGTGACTGTCATTTTTTTAATAAAGCTTTGTGTGTTTATCATCTGCTCTGCGTGTTCTGTCCTGCCCTCCCCCCGTCACAATACCAAACGAACATGCAGAGTTCATGCCACCTGGAGTGTTCTCTCATTCAAGCAACTAAACCTGTTATACAAAATGGTGGACCCAGAAGGATTTGTGGATAATAATCACTGAATAATCCCCCCAAGTTGCAATGTTCTGTGTACACCAAATATTCAAATTTCTGGCATTCTGATCTGCACTCTGTCAGGGCCTGGACTTGAACCTGGGACTTCTACTGTGTCAGGCAGTAACTCTACTCACTGAGCTGCCTAGGATGCTGGACAACACTTTGCCTCATCTATTGATAATCCTGCCTTTGCCTTGTTTGCTCTTGAACCTTGAACTCCTTGCTCCTCCCATGAACTTCCTATATAAGCCATGTCCTTGGACTTCCTCCTTGCCAGATTATTGTGCCTTTCCAGCCAATATCCCGCTACTGTTCCTGCTGCTGTCTACACCTCCGCTACTGATCTTTGGCTTGTTCCTGACCACGATTTCGTCTCATCCTAACGTACTACGATTGATCTGCTACCATTTGTGACCAACCCTTGGCTTGTGACCGACTCTGCTTTCGTCTGATCCCTAACCTGTTGATCCGCTATTGGTTCCCAGTCTGCTCATTCCCTGGTGGGGTGATCCTGAGATCTGCGACCTGGTATTAACACGCAGCCCAATCCATCTCCACCATTAGGAGCTCTGGTGAATACTGGTTAATACTTAGACCCCGCACTCAGGTGAGCCTGCGTCATTCCCAGGGGGATCCGCTGGTGTACCTATCCTGCTGGTTCCAGGTAAGCCTTTTACTGCTATAGCAACTGGTCTCTGAACCTGACCTTACACCGTGACACACTCAGTCTGGAAAAGTAAATCTAAAATATTCCACCCAGACTGTACAGAGCCATCTATTGAACACGCCATAATACATATGTAGCCCCTTCTAGGCTAGCTAGA